AGCCAGCCCCCTAGCCCCCACAGACCGCCTCACAGCCAGCCCCCTAGCCCCCACAGACCACCTCACAGCCAGCCCCACTACCCCCCACAGACCGCCTCACAGCCAGCCCTCTCTTCCCCACATCGGCTGCCTCGCAGCCAGCCCTCTCTTCCCCACATCGGCTGCCTCGCAGCCAGCCCTCCTCCCGCAAATGGTTCTCCTCACAGCCGGCCTCACTACCCCACTCCCACCACACACTCAGCACCCCTGGTTCACCTCAAAGCCCCCCAGCCTGGTCCTGAGGAGGGGGTCAGGTCCCAACCCCAGCACAGGGACTAGAGCTTCTCCATACACCCAGCCTCCCATCCCACGCAAGTCAGCAGCAAAGAGGAATCTAGGCTGAGGCTGATCGGAAGCAGAGTGGGATGGAAGAGGCTGCTCTCCGCAGGGCTCTCGCAGAGACCGGCCGTGCAGCAGGACGTGGGATCTCATGTGTGATCCAGATCATGAGCCAAATGAGTAACAAAGGATCTTTCCCCAGCCATGTCCCGGCACATCCCACAGTGCTGACAGCCTGGCTTCAGCAGGGCCCTCTGCCAGCACCAGCCGGGCTTCCATCAGGCTCAGGGGAGGGTACACCAGCAACACTGCCCTGGTGGCACTAAAACGTGACCTCCTGGCTTTGGATACAGGCGAGATCCAACATGACTGCACCTCTCTTCGGCTTCTGACACAGCCGCCTCGAGGGGCTGCTGAGCCACCTGAGAACCAGCTGGAGGAGATGGTGTCCACTGTACTAGTGCCTGTCACCGCTCTCCAGCAGAGCCCAGCCAAACCCTGGGCAACAGCTTCTCTTCCCCAAAGCCAAATGCAAGCGCAAGCTCGGGAGCAACGTGTTCAGGTGGTTTCCTGAGGGACTCTATTCAGGGCAAGCTGAGCTCGCTCCCCGTGGCTCAGCACGAGGGACCCCAACACAAACGCGAAATGGAAACCCCAGGCAGGCTCACAAACACCCTGACATTGCCCAGTTCCTGCCCATGCAGAGACACATTCCCAGCACCACTGCAAACAGTCCCTGCCGCTCAGAGGGGAAGCGAGCGTTTCTTGATTTAACATATGGAGAACTGAAAGTACAGCTCACACGCTAGTGGCAGTGGGAGAGCCCCATTTTGCAGCAGGGTCTCTTGTCAGGGGTTTGCACAGGGGCAAGGCCGTGGGTGTGACCACACAAGCACAGAGGTCCCTGCTCTGGAGAAACCCTGCGCACCATGGTGACAGGCACAGGGACTGCACTAAGGGGGACGGTTTGTTCCAGTGTTAACAGTAATGCAGGGGTGACCAACTGCACAAGCCAGGCTTCGGACCTGTGCTGAACACTACTGCTCTAGGTCGGGGCACATGGGATTAGACCGCCAAGAGTACGATATTCCTGGGGGCCAGGCTGCTGTAGTGTCTGCGGATCAATATCACTCCTAGGACTTGATTCACGGGGATAAAGGCCAGATGGGCCCATTAGATCATCTCGTCTGACCTCCTGTGTATCACTGGCCATTACATGTCACCCAGTTACCCAGCCTTCTGCTGAGCCCAGCCACTTGTGTTTGGCTAAATCATCCTCCAGAAAGGCCTCCAGTCTGGATTTCAAAACATGCCTTGCAGTGAGAGACTTAACAAGCTCAACCAGTTTAGCTTAAATCTCTCCTGGAGAGGCATTTTCTCGAGCCCTCAAATAATTTTTGTGGCTCTTCTCTGTAACCTCTCCAATTTTTCAACCTTCTTTTTAATACGTGGATGCCAGAACTGGACACCGTGTTCCCGCACTGGCCTCTCCAGTGCTGTCTCCCTGCTCCCCTCTTTCACATCCACAGATCCCATCAGCCAGTTGGCCACAGCAGCGCACTGGGAACTCATGTTCTGTGCTTGTTCACGCTGACCCCTAAACCCTTTTCAGAGTCGCTGCTTCCCCAGATGCAGTCCCCCAACCCATAAGTGACCGTAAATCCCTGTGTGAACAGAGTACGGGGGTGAAGCAGCACTGAATCATAGAATATCAGGGTTGGAAGGGACCTCAGGAGGTCATCTAGTCCAACCCCCTGCTCAAAGCAGGACTAAAGCTCGGTACACTGCTCTGTGATAATAAACAAATACAACGTGATAAGCAGGCTACTGGAATACGACTGTGTAGTTAAATGGGGCACTGTAAGCACAACTGGCAGTGAGGAGGAAGAACGGCTCAGGATAAACTACCTCTCACTTGAGGGCTGTTAAGGGACAATACCCGACCCATGAGCTTCGAAGGTTTTGCCTCCGTCCTGCCCAACCTCAAAGCTGGTTTTGTCCAGAAGGGCCAAAGCTGGGAACCCAGACAAACACAAAAGGGCTGCAGCAGGGTTTAAGAAGGGTGTCTCCCTCTCTGGCGGGGGGTGGTGGAGAAAGGGTGCTGGGGGGGGGGACGAGAGGGAGATGGGGACCCCATGGGCTGTCTGGGGACCCTAGGTCTGTCTAGCTCACCATTATAAGATGCACACACGCAGATTGTTGTTTTAAACCCCCCTTTTTCTCTAATGCTCTATTCCTAAGCAGGCTGCCTGGTCTCAGTATTCACCGCTGGTCACAGATCCCCGAAAGGAGAGCTGCAGGTGCTGCACCCAGCCAGACCTATTGGGTAAGCAGAATTAATAGACCAGGCCTTGCGCTGCAGTAGCGTGCATAAGAGTGGGAGACCTGCCAAATTTCACCCCAGGAGAAGTGACGCACAAGGCCGGACCACTGAGGGTGCGCCCGAGACCACCCAGGGGACAGAGGAGCAGCTGCCAGTGTTCAGGGCACAGCTATGGCTGTCCAGGCAGGCAGTGGCAATGTTTGTTTTGCTGGCCTACAGGGAGGGGTCAGGACTATGGGAGTCACTTCAGCCTGGGGCCTCGGCTTCCATTTCTTCAAGGACAAGGCAGGGTGCAGTGGGGAGGCTGCTGTGAATGCCAGGCTGCAGCCTTAGCTTGGCACTAAAGACTATTTCTGGCTGCAACCGTGGGTGGAGAAGAGATTGAAGGGGGAGCAGAAGCTGGAGCCTGGGGGAGCTCCTGGCACTGGGGGCTGCACGGCAGAGGGTACAGAGGGGGCATCCAGATGGGCAGCTTGGCCCAAACTTCCATGGAACTGGCGTCTCGCTGGCGCTTCCCCAACATACAGGGAGGATCGTCTATCCCAGGATGATGTTCCTCGGTACACGGGGCTCCCCAGTGACCCACACCCCAAAACACTGCTGGCTCCCTCCCCAGCACAACAAGGTCTCTGCCACTACCAGCCACTGGGGGTGGGGAGATCAGAGAGGAAACCCCTCAGAGGGCCCTGGGTCTCCCACAGCAGGCGCTCCTTGGACACCACCCACAACAGGATGGCATCTGGCACCCGTGCCACCAGGCTCACATGGCTGTGGCCAGAGGCAGCACGGGCCTGATCCTCACGGACGTGGGGCAGCAGATGTTGAGGGTCCCCTCTCCCGGGAGGGGGAGCATGGGCTGGGGCTGTCCCCATCATGGCATACAGTCCTGATCGGTGGACAATGGGTGTGCTCCCAGAAAAGAGAGGTTTGAGCGGCAGGACCGCTCCCAACGCACAGATGGGAGCAGAGGGGAGCGTCCCAGACCCCCTCACCTGGCGGCACTCACCGAAAAGGCGATCTCACACAGCTTCTTCACCCACTCCGCGCTCTGCTCCTTCTCTGCAGCAAACAGGTAGCTTCTGTCGCTGGTCTCCAGGCGGAAAACAGCCATGCTGTCCTTGGGGCCACTCTCCGGCATGGGCGCCACGCTGAGACAGTCCGCTAGGCGGATGATCTTCTTGTCCAGCCGCTTGGTGCTGAGTTTCTCGGCTGGGGCCCCTGGGTCCTTGCAGTCAAAGAACTCCAGGCGGGCGACCCCATGTTGGCTGGCTGGGTACAGCACAAACCAGTTCTTCTTCCATCTCTGCAAAGGCAGCACAGCAGGGTCAGCACAACGGCCTCTGCCCCCCACACCCAGACCCAAAGGTCTGTAAGCTGTCTGTACGGGGTAAGGACTCCCTCACTCTTGGTGCAGGTCTGGCTGGGACAGCAGCTTGCACTCAAGTCATGGGGAGATTCCAGCCTGAAGCAGAACCTGAGGTCCATGTGGAGCACACCAGGATTCGATCCCAAGACCCTCTGGGCTGGCAGGGACAGGGAGCCCGGGGCTGACACACACTCCTCCTGGCTGCCAGGAGCTGCAGACAGCAGCATTTCCCCAGCCCCAACCAGCTGGTCCCCCAAAGAGACCAGCCACAGGCCTGTATGGGGCAGGTGCCAGAGGCCTCAACTCTGGGGAGGCTTCTTCAGAGAGATCAGATAAAGGCACAAAAGCTGGACTGGAGCGATGGAGGAGGGGCAGGCGGGATGCTGGACTGGGGCGCTGGGGGAGGGACGCGGGACAAGGGTGCTGGGGGAGGGGCAGGCGGGGCGCTGGACCGGGGCGCTGGGGGAGGGGTGCTGGGGGAGGGGCGCTGGGGGAGGGCAGGTGGGGTGCTGGACTAGGGTGA